TGAGACAACATGGAAGGACCTGGAGAGTATTATCCTAAGTGAAACAAGCCAAGCAGAGAAAGACAAATATCACATGATCTCACTTATTTGTGAAATATAATGAACAGAACAGTCTGAGGAATAGGGTAGACCCAGAAACATGGAAGTAGGGTACAGACTGACAACCCTCAGAAGAAGGGGTGGTGGGAGGAGGGAAGAGATAAACCACAGAACTTATATGTATGTAGGCATAACCGATGGACATGGACAACAAAGCCAGGGACGAGGCGGGGGGATGGGGAGGAGGGTGTCAATGGGGTAAAAAAGGAGAAACATCTGTAACAAAGATAAAATTAAAAAAATACATTAATAAAAATAAAAGTATGGACTTGGAGCCAGATTTACCTGGACTTGAATCATGGCTCCATCCCTTTCTAATTGACAAAATTACTTAACCTCTCATGGTTTTGTCTTTAAATGAATCAGAATAATAACAGTAAGTACACTAGAGTTTTGAGGATTAAATGAGATAGAGCATGTAAATCACTTGTGCTTCACATATAGGAAACACTGAAAAGTACAAGCTTCTGTGATTATCATTATCATCATCATTACCATCACTATTATTACTTCTGTAATTAGAGCTTTTAGAAAGGAGCTTTTTATCATCTCTCAGCCTGGATTCTAATTGGCCACTAGATAGTTGGGTTTATCTTTAGTAAAGGGCACTTTGAATTTTCATATCATTGTTTTACTTAATATAAGGAAAATCTTATCATTTGGAGCTAAATGATCATTGCTAATGAATGTATTGTAATAAATTATTGGAATTAGTTATAGTAGATTTAAGATCAAGTTGTTCTGGGTGCAAAATGAGAGAGAAGACAAAAGAAACTAAAACTAAACAAATATAATATCCATACTCCAAAGTCACCTCCAACAATACATCTGTGAAACATAAGATTATTTTTAGTTGCAGATCTCCAGATTTTTTCTACCAAAAAGTGTACACATGTGATTTCCCCTTTTTTTTCTGTCACTGGACTCCATGTGATGGAATGGAAAAGGCCCTGGACAGGGTAATTAGTAGTTCTGGACTCTAGAGCCAGCTCTGTCATAGGCAGTGTGACCTCAGTGTGTATCTTTTACCTTCTCTAGTCATCTGTCTCCATGTGTGAATGATGAGGTTTGATTTCGATGAGTGATTCTCAAAGAGTGATCCCTAGACCAGCAGCACCAGCTTCACATGGGAACGTGTTAGAAAAAGACACTCTCAGGCCTAGATCTCAAATCTACTGATTCAGAGGCTAAGGGTGGAGTTGAGCGATCTTTGTTTCAACAAGCCCTCCGGGTTCTGATGCACACTGAAGTGTAAGCATCACTGCGCTGGATTATTTTAGTCTAAATTTTAGATAGTTGGATCCAACCCTAGAGTTTCTGATTCATAGGTCTGGGGTAGAGCCCCATAATTTGCTTTTTAAAGTTCTCAGGTATTGCTGATGCTGCTGGTCAGGGAGCATACTTGGAGTACTACTAGGTTAGCTCAACTCTAAACTTGATTTCACCTCTGAGTCTATCATTACTATTGTTTTTTCCTATGCCTTCTGTTTCCCTCCTTATTTACTTTGACCCTCAATTTGTTGAAACTGCCTCTGGACTAATAGCATTAAAATTTCTTACACATCCTATCTTGTAGAGGGTGATGGACAGAAAGGAACTTCCCTAAATTATTATAGCTTAAGTTACTATGAAACACCTACAGTTCGTTGGCATTAAAAACAACCCTAGATAGTTTACTTAGTTATCTCCTATACATAGCAGATTACAAAGGAAATATTTTCAGGCAACAATATTCAAGAATTAAGGTCTGATGCCTAATTGCTTTATGCCCTGAAGAGCTTGGGCGGCAATGTAAAAATAAAATTATGTTTTCATTCTAAGATGTTGGTTAATGAATAATACTAAAGATCCCAAATTACATCTTCAAATGATCCCGGTAACCCCACCTCTTCTTTTTCATGGTTTTCTAGATACTCGGGATGGGGTAATACCCTCTGAGGCATGGTATCTGCTAAGAACAGGACAAGCCTCTGCCTGCCAAACAGAATTATTTAGTTGGCTCATGTTTTATTTTTTGAATTAGAGTTATGGGTAAGACCCACGGTTTCTTCTTTTATCAATAAAGCGATCATTTTCTAGTACTGAATATTCAAACTGTGTAAAACAGAGAGTGAGGATCTAATGTTTACTGAGTGCCTGCCATGTGCTAGTCACTGTGCCACAAGTGTTACTTTCCTTGTCTGTTCTAGCCTCACAATAACCATGTAGGGCAGTCTCGTTAGCTCAGCTTTTCCCGTGATGGGCTGGACTCAGAAAGGATCACACAGCCAACAGAATGGCAGCGTATGGCTCCAAGCTCGGACTGTTTGACAGCAAAGCCTTTGTAGGCAGAGTAGATTCTGAATAAATATGTACTGACTGAATGAAAGAATGACTATGTCACATTATCTTCCTAATCTTGACTTTTAAACAGTCATAGAATTATGAATTTGGAAAGGCTCTATGGATCATTATCTAATCAGGGGTTTAGTTACGGATATCCTTTCAAGAATTTCTAACATGGAGGGATGCAACCTTGACTTGACCACCTCCAGGGACACGGCATACCCCTCTTTAATCAGTGATTATTGAATAACTCATTATTAGAACATTCTTCTTAGCGTTAAGCTTCCCTAAAATCTCTCTCTCTTTCTTCTTTTTTTTTAGCTTAGTACTACCCTTTGTAACTGCTCAAACTTAATCTGGTTCATCTTCCATATATCATTCCTTCGAATATTTGAAGATAGTGTATTTTTTTCTACACAAGCTAAGTAGCCTCCATTTTTTTTCCCAGCTACTTCCCAAGACCATAACACATAATAATAGCTTAATAGCTCTGGCCGGGTGGCTCAGTTGGTTGGAGCATCATCCCATACACCAAATGATTACAGGTTTGATTCCCAGGCAGGGCACATACCTAGGTTATGGGTTTGATCCTCGGTGGGGGCACATACAGGAGGCGACTGATTGATGTCTTTCTCTCTCTCTAAAAATCAGTGGAAGCATATTGTCGGGTGAGAATCAAAATACATACATACATACATACATACATAAATACATAGTACATAAATAAGTAAAATAACTTAATAAATGTGTGTTAAATGAAATAAGGAAAGATTAAATATGATGCCTAGATGACTCACTTTTTTCTTTCCCTCCTTTAGAGTGTGAAGCATCTATGTTATGTGCTAGGACCACATTTCTAAGAGTAAAGGAAATTATGTCCTTTGATACACTCTTGCCCTGAACAGTAGTCACTCACAGAAGACACTGTTTTATTTTCTGATGAAGAACAGCGCCCTCATCTTTGACATCTCAGATTTGCGTCAGGTCCCAGGGAGCTGGACTTGAGCAGCACACGCAGTGCTTTCCCTCAGGGTTGAAGGCGAGACCTGGGCACCAGGGGATCCGCTCCAGCTTAAGCAGGCTCAGTTTGTACTCCAGTGGACGAAACTTGGGCTTACCTCAGCTAAAATGGAAGAAATAGCTGCCCAAAGCTACTTTCTTTCACGCCCCACTGGCAAGGTAGTAATTGCACAAAGACCTTTTTATTATAAGTTGATTTTCCTGAGAAATGAATTCAGAAAAATACTGTAAAGTGTTTATTTTTTGCTTGCCCTTTATTAACCCACATCAGAGGGCTTTCCCCAGAGAAAAACTGTGGGTAAATGAAACCTCTTAGACCCACACAGAAGCGTTTTGCACTCTGTGCCTGGCTGTGGAGGGAACAAGGACAGGACAGGCGAGTGAGTGCTATTTGAACAGGGGCATCAACCAGCATCTGGAATTTTGCCTTAAGAGAAGATTTAGGAATTTAAATGGGGGAAGGGTTTGGCGTTGGTAGAATTAGTGGTAAAAGTATCTTAGACAGAATATAATGTAGCCCTTTTATACTACTAACGAGGCCAGAAACCCAGTTTGAACTAAAAGATCATTTCTGTTAATACACTGTAGTTTTGATCTTTAAATAACAAAAGTCCTGTAGTTCAACCTATAAAATCAGGCTTTAAAAGCCAAGACAAAACCTTCCTGTGATGCTCTCCTGGAATCGGGGCAGCACGCATAGGGTAAAGAAGGGAGCGAGGAAATTAAAATGTGATTTCCACAGGCATGATTCTGTCATAGCTCTTATTTTCTTTATATGGAAAACAAATACTGATATAGAGAGTGAAGATTTTCTATTTTGCATTTTTGTGCTCTTTGATGCATTTATTGAGGTCAAATGAAATTTGATATAGTAGGATTTATTATGAAATGCTCTCTGAATACAACTCCATAATTACTGAGCTACATGGTAGTGCATAAAGCTGTAAAACTGCTTAGCCAGACAAGCAATTTATATGTTCCATCGAGGTGTGTATGGCAAAGAATATTAGTTTAATTGGGAGCCAAGATGTAGTAGCCTTAAATCTGAAGAGCTATATGTTTAACATAATGCAGTGAGGCTTTGAAATAAGATTCCTAAACTAGGGAGATACCGCTTTTGGAATATATAACAATTAGACATTATTTTCTGACCAAGGATACTAAATATTGTTTTTAAAATAAAGCACAGAATGCAAAGCCTGTGTGAGGGTAAAATCTTTTAACATTGTACGGTTGTAAGAAGCAACTTATTTCTTTGTTTGAAAAAGGAAAGAAAATGAAAGGAAAAATAAAGTCAAGGTAAAAGAAAACCACTAGCTACGGCCCAGTGCGGGCTGGGGTGAAGCAGAAGCCGGTGAGGCCACATTCGTGGTGTGCCCATGGAGTGTGAGAGGGGGTTCGGGCGCATCTGGCCTGAATTTTCGGAGGGAGCAGATTTGGAATGAAGGTGGAAGTGGGTGGCTGTTTGGGTACCAGCCACACCACCAGGAGTGAAAAACAAATACTTCTTGGCATACATTTGCTCTCTGTCTGATCATAGGCTCTCTTCTGTTTAGCAGGTTCAGGGTCACATGCCTCCGCTCATGATCCCAATTTTCCCACATGACCAGCGGACCCTGGCAGCTGCTGCTGCCGCCCAACAGGGATTCCTCTTCCCCCCTGGAATAACATACAAACCAGGTAAGTAGAAAGGGATTTAACATTCTTTGGGAAATGCTGAAATCCACATGTTTTTGCTTAGTAGTCACAACAAACACAGGAGTACATGAAAGAACGATGAATAAAAGTCATAAAAGCTTATTTAAAAGTAATATGAGAACTGGGAAGTTAATTGGGAAGGTGACACGTTAATAAACTAATTGGTTGCTCAAAACTTTTACTTTTTCTTCTTCTACTTGAGTTTGTTTTGAATTCGCAGATAAAATGCTCCTTTCCTTGGGGATTACAGATTTTTGGTAGGTCTGTCTCATACCTTTATGGAGAATATTTGTCTTTGGTTCAAGATGCCCCCCTCCCCCCCGAGAGCTTTTCTATTCCAGCAGAGTGGTCACGTACAGTATAAAATGTTATTATTATTTGTTATTTGATTTCTCTTGGAAGAGAAGTTAAAAATTGGATTGATTTAATTAGCTTGCCATTAATAGGTAAATTTCTTTTTGATTTTAGTCTAAATAATGAAGCATTCAGTAGTGTTTCCTCATTCATCTTTGAACCTCAAAGAACAGGTCACATAACCTTGCAGTGAAATATGTTTTGAGATGATTTAGCAAATGTTATGATTTTTCTTTATTCCTCTGAGTTTACCGGACTCCTGGGGAATTCAATTAGGGACACATAATGGTTTGAAGCTTCTTTCAGAGCCTCCTTGTAAACAGGGCTTTAAATGTTTAAAGATATGTTGCCAAAGGAATCCAATGTAAGAAGATAGTCAAGTAAATAAAAGTCAACCTTAATTTCATTGGTGCATTCTTTGTAAGTGACCTCAGCTCAGAAGTAGTGACCTTGTTCTACTCATTAATAATTTCTGTGTCGAGTTCTTTTTAACATATTAACCTGCTTATATTAACCACCAAATACGTGTGTCACAAATCTGAGTGCAGCAGTTTCTTTGTGTGTGGGGTTTACAAAGTGAACAAAGGCATTTTAATATGCTTAAAGCAATAATAAAATATAAATCACTTTATTAAAATTCTTGGTAAGGAAGCTTACTAGATAGTATAAAAAACAAACCTGTGAGTTTTGACATCTATTTTCATTGCTTGCCATCGATTACTCTTTTGCATTTGGTAGAGTCCATCTTTCCTTGTGAGGAAGGGTAGGACGTCTCCGTCAAAACTCAAATGAATTAAAGAACAGAGATGTTAAGGGACTGACTGACTTAAGGACTGACTTTGAAAATTCCTCTCAATCCTAGTATTAGCACAGGTTTTTGGACTCCTGCATGGAAAAATGTTGTGTTATTCCGATTGCTAAAAATGGATTTTTCTAGAGCAGAGATTTTAGAACAAGCTATATTCCCTATGAAATTGGGATTAATATTAAGGACAATGTAATTGTCTGAGAAGATGTTTCTCTCAGTGCACTAGTTCAGTCCTCCTCTGATCTCTGTATTTCTGAACTATTTGTTACTCCTGACTCCCTCTGGAACACTGATGTAAACTCAGTTAACTGGTATATCCTGAATCTGACTTTGTTGTCTCTATACCAGTCTTAGAGCCCTTTCAAATGAACTCTATGTGGAAACTCTGTACTTCATTTCAGTATTTTTACATTTAAAATCCTCCCCTCTTCAAAATCAGATATGGGCCTTGTTTTCTACTAGACATAGACATCAACATGGTTAACATGTTACTTACCTAACTTTGTTAAAATAATAATGACATTTTTCATGGGACAGATATTGTTATATAGTCAATGAAGCTGGACCATTTTATTTTTTTATCCTCACTCCAGGACATTTTTCCATTTTTTGTTCAGATAGAGTGGGAGGGGGAGAGAGGAAGAGAGAGAGAGAGAGAAACATCAGTGTGAAAGGGACACATCAAGTGCCCGCCTTCTGCAGGACCCAATCAGGGCCGGGGACAAACTGCAACCAAGGTACGTGCCCTTAGTGGGAACCGAATCCGGGTCTCTCTGGACCACAGGCTGGCGTTCTAACCACTGAGAAAACTGGCCAGGGCTGGACTGTTTTTTAAAAAGTCTTCTCATGTAGCACCAGCGAGATTAGGTAACTAAGAAGAATGTAGAGATTGGGACAATACTGTGCAGGAGTGAGCCACTTGCATTGAACAGCGTATGTGCAGCACAGGGGAGTGTTCTTTCTGGGGAAGCAAAGTTGTATTTCAACTGAACCTTTTGGTTAAGGTAGGACAGTGGATTTGGACATTAGGGCAATTTTTAATCACAAACATGGCTGAAGAAACAATGTATTTTCTGGTGACTTGTAAGTTAGGTCAGAAAATTTAATTAAGCAGAACTCCATATTCTTTAATACTTTGGCTAATCTAGGCTTTATTGTATATAAAAATCACACTTTAAAAGGATTAAAGTTCTATGTTCTTACACTATTAGTTGAGAAATGACATACTCAGGAGACTTAATCTATGCATTGTTCTCGCTCTTCACATGAATGAGGGGAGGAGAAGACTGTCGGACTGGTCTGAGGAAATTTTTTTTCTCCAAATTGAGCTATGATCATTTCACACATGAGACAAGAACTAAATTTTTAGAAGAGAGGAGCTTTGCGCCATATAGGAGCTGTGAAATTGTCACATAACTTTCTGTGTTGCTCTCCTAAGCAAGAAGCTGAGTGAGTGCTACCTTGCTCTTTATAAATGACAAAATAAATTTCTTCCTTTTTTCACCTCTTCTGTCTTCCCATAACGAAAACAATTCCACAGAGCTCATGCCTGCAGCCAACTGAATAACTGTCTTGATTGCTAGAAACCCAGGCCCTCCTTGGGGTGACGTTCATGGTCAAAGTTGACTGTTTCTGAGCCCATATTGGGACAGCCTCAGTGGACATGTTTAGGGTGCTGGGCCTTCCCCTTCGACACTCTGCCCATTGCTCTGGGCATTGCAGGGTCGCTGCGCAGTGCACAGCGAGCAAGCTCTCCCTCCGCTGGCTCACGGGGGCGCTGCCCACAGGGACTGCGCGGTTTTAGAGGAGCATCTATCAGATTGATCTCGGTAAAAATAGCTTTATTGAGTTTTAACCCTTAATCCAAACAATGTTTTTTCACTGGTTCAATAATTAGAGACATCTTTCTAGAAAAGAACTCCTCAGGGTCCAAGACATAAACCACAGACTTTGGGTTGCTTTGCCCTTTTACATCACGATACTGAATGATGCAGCAATCCAAGGTAAGGTAAAGACATCTGAGTAGCTATATTAGAGTAAATTTAAAAAGTGAGCCTATTTCATAACCGTCAATGTATAAATCAGATCAAGATTGAATTGCCTGTAAAATAAGAACATTTTATACACCAGGGATGATAACATGATAATAGCTAAATTTAATTGAATACTTTGTGCTAAATGCCGTGTTAAATATTTTGCATGAATTGTTTTTCCTTACTTGAACATATTTAACCTTGCTGAACTTCTTTGACATCTACAAAAATATGCTATGATTTTGGCCACTGCTCAATGTAGATGTAACAATTAAGTTTGTTAAAATGGATGGAAGTTCTTTTAAAATCCTAAAGCACTGCATTTGGGGATAAAGTCTGACTATGAAGCTGAGTAAATTTAATGACATTAAACTACATCCTTGTCCATTAGAAATATGGTCCAAGAACTGAGCGTTTGAGACATCCTGTGTCTCTGCCTGATGACCAAAAGCAATTTTACAAGTATACCTAATGCTTCTTTTAAAAAACTGTGGTAAAATATACATACCATATTTATCATTTTAACCAATTGTATTTAAATGTACAACTCAGTGGTACGAATACATTTACAATGTTGTGTCGCCATCACCTCTATGTACAAAATTTTAATAATCACCAAACAACTCTGTGGCCATTAAACAATGCTTCCTATCTTCCCACTCCTAACCACTAGTGACCCTATTCCACTGTCTTTCTCTATGAATTTGTCTATTCTAGGTACTTCATATAAATGGGATCATACAATATTTGTTCTTCTGTGTCTAGCTTACTTCATTTTCAAGGTCCATTTATATTATAGCATATATAAAATATTCATTCCTTTTTATGGCTGAATAATATCCCATTGTGTGTGTGAGTGTGTGTGTGTATGTGTGTGTGTGCGCGGGCGCGCATGTGTGTTTCTTTGTTTATTCACTCATCTGCTGATGGCTGCTTGGGTTGTTTCTACCTTTGGCTATTGTTAATAATGCTGTTGTGAAAATTGCTATATAAATATCTGTTCCAGTCCCTACTTTCAGTTCTTACGGATATACATGTAGGGGTGGAATTATCGGGTCATGTGATAGTTCTATGTTTAACTTTTTGAGAAACCACCAAACTGTTTTCCAGAGCGGCTGCATGATTCTCACTAGCAATGCAAGAGAGTTTCAGTTTGTCCACATCCTCACCAGCACATTATTTTCCAGTTTTTTTAAAAAGTATAACCATCCTAGTAGATGTGAAGTAATATCTTATTTTGGTTCTAATTTTCATTTCCCTTATGATAATTTTGAGCATCTTTTCCTATGCTTACTGGAAATTTGTATATCTTCCCTAGGAAAAAAGTCTGTTTAAGTACTTTACCCATTTTTGAACTGGGATGCTTGTTTATTGTTGTTGTTAAGATTAAGAACTTCTCTATATATTCTAGATATGATCTCTTATTGGGTATATGATCTGCAAATATTTTCTCCTATTCTGTAGGTTGTCTTTTTACTTGATAGGATCCTTTGATGTACAAACATTTTTAATTTTGATGAAGTCCAATTTTTTCATTTTTGTTGCCTGTGCTTTTGCTGTCATATCCATAAAATCATTGCTGAATCCAAAGATTTACTCTGATGAATGTTTCTAGGAGTTTTATAGTTTTATTACTTATCTTTTGTTCATTTGAATTAATTTTTATATGGTGTAAAGTAAAGGTCCAACTTCAGTCTTTCGCATGTGGGTATTCAGTTTCGCAGAACCATTTGGTGAAAAGATGTCCTTTCCCCAGACAACAGGGTGGTGAAGGCCTGGGTAGGATG